TCTCACACACACGCACACACATTCATACTCACACTCACACGCAGGTTAGAGAAAAGTGTGGCGTGTGCTGTGATTTCCCATGATACCCTGGGACACACGGTGGAGTTATTCATCACAGGAATGATATCACACCTGACAGTGACACCAGCTGCAGGTTTATGGTGGGAATCTTTTGGTTGTTTCTAAAAAAAATAAAGCAAAATTGGGAATGTGCCCTAAAATAAAATACTGAGAGACGCAAACATCCAAAGAAAGTCCCACAGTGTGCTAGACTCAGTAGAATACGTTTGATTATAATTGTAAATTCACACATTGCTGCTCGAAACGTCACGTAAAGTTTATTTGCTCGACTAATACATGTTCATTGGGTGATAATGAAGGCCCCAAAATGTCCTTGCTGCAATGAAAAAATATCCAGTGAAGAAGAAGAGAAGATTTAAGCCACTCCCATTATATAAAAAGAGATTCATTTTTAAATTAGATTACGATCGCCTCGAGAGTCGTCAGGACACGTTTGTGATTCTTCAAACAATGGAACAAAATGAAAACTGTACAGAGCTTTCTAAAATATCACAGGCAATAATCACAAATATATAGAACATAATCATTCCCATAGAAAAACGTCACGATGTAAGCAACACAACAAACACCATTCTTCTACACTGCAAAAAGTGGTGAAAATAAGTCAAACATTGCTCAAATTTGGCAAAAAGTGTCTTAATTTGAGCACATTGTCACTGCCTTAAAACGTGATTTGCCGATGGAAAAAGCAAAAATGATCTTTAAAAAGATAATTTTTCAATAAGTTTTAAAAAGATGCAAGAAATGTGTCCCTTAGAATGAGAAAGTAAAGCAACCGTTCTTGAATTAAGGCTATTTTCAAGGGTCTAGGTCACTAGTGTCCAGTCATGTGCAATCAATAGTTAAAACACTGATTAAGCAGAAGGCCAAACGAGGGCCACGGAGAAAAGTGCAAATTAGTTTCTTACACAGGTTAATATAAGCTCTCAGGACTATTTATAACTTTGCTTCACACACACTGATACACACTTCCATCAGACGCCCCGAGCCTTCTCTGTGTCTGTACTGTTCCTTTCTGGTCAGAGACAAGTGAAGTAACCATCTCTGACCTAACTTTATCATGAACTGCGTTTTCTGCACACTTTTAATCGTTTTTTAACTGCAGGTTTTTATTGTGTGTAAATGTCAGAAATATTGTCCGTATCAAAAACAAACAGTGAATATCTAGAACACATATTTGTTTATTTGGGTCAATAAAATGTTTTGTCTTCATGGACTATTTCAAAATGAAGCCAAAACCCGTTCAGGAAGTACAAAACGGCTCCAAGGGGTTATTAATCTCTATACACTGTTTTCAGCGTGTGTGGAACCACTTCATTACTGCTGTGTTTAGGGATGGACATTACCTTCATGTGGGGCCAGGGAAACGGATTCTGAAATACTCAAAATCCATTGATTGTGGTAGTTTTATTTGTGAAGTGATTTTTTTGACAAGATATTCCAGTACTGACTGCACAATCACAAATACGTATTTAAGGTGCATGGAGGCAAAAAGAGCTGTTTTTGGTTGTTTAAAAAAAAAAATTATATAAAAAAGCAGTTTGCACAGTCTTGGAGGAAGTATAGGATTCCTGTGTTAGAGCAACAGCTTCAAAAACGAGTTGATTGTACAGATGTGTCGACCTGTGATGGAACATGTTTTAGTTCTATGTAGTGTCTTTTATGTGTCCTCTGTTCTTTAATGTTAGAACTTGTTGAGAGGCCTATATTCACAAACATCATAACCACACAATCCTCTGTTCATGCTGATTTTAACTGAATGTACTTTTTACTTGTGATGTAAGGAGACCTTGAGTGTCTAAAAAGGCGCCTAAGAAATAAAATGTAGTATTATTACTGACCCCCTGCTCCGAGACAAATGAAACTGAAATAAAAGTATATCGTGAATAAAACACTGTGCAGGAGTCTATGAAAAGTCAATCATGCTGTAATTCTTTTTCAGATTGGCGCTGTAACAAATTCAATCACACACAAGGTTAACCATTTTAATATAATCTGAAAACACAGAGAAAATACAGCAGTGCAGACAGTAAACACTCAAGCCACCTGCATTCACATTTGGTCCCAAAATGACTTCATTTAATGATGACCTTTCATGAACACTTTACCCATAACACATTTTTGATTAACATATTTTGAAAAAAGTGAGTGCCTGCAATTCATAAGCCAAATTCTCTTGAAAGCACATTTTGTATTCATTTCCATCACATAATAATATTAATTTGCATCTTTTCACATAATTTACAATTACATTTACAACTTGGCCACCATCATCAAGGCTCATTATAACAATGATTATAATTATCCTCATTCAATCGTTATAACTAGCTCCGCTGCTGCTTTCACCTACGCACACACACACACACGCACACACACACACACACGCACAGGACAGTGAAGAGAGAAGCAGGCAGACCCATTACTTCATATATGGCTCAATTATCAACATCAAAGCCAGAAAAACAGAGGAAATATACTAGAATAAAAAAGTCTTTGCGCAATTGGACCAGGATTTGACACAAGGTCTGACTCACAGCACTCACTAGATAATTATGATTCACCTTTTTCCATTTGCAGTCTATTTTGTAGATGTAGTCTCCCTGCAGAAGTCACGGAGAAGCTTTTTTGTTGTCTGGATCTCTATAATGTTCCAGTCTACGTAATTTACATTTTCATCGCTAAAGGGGAAAGACGACGCCCACTCTTTAACAATCCATCTTCTTTGCAGACTTCATTTCGCGTCCACTCCACCACTATTACACCGTCGGTTTATAGAAACGTATATGGCTGCTATAATGTACATTTGCTGTGTCCACAAATCCAGTGGAGAAGACACAGCGCCAGACTCTAGGACAATTCCTGCTGAATTATGAATCCATCACTTTTTTCCCTCCGCTGCTCCCAAATTTGCCGCTTTGCCAACTTGCAGGTTTTTTTCCCGTCGCACTGTGGACTCATCATGCCGGATAGTGGACTTGAGATAGCATAAGGAAAAAGTGCAGTTTCTCTACAAAAAAAAAGGAAAATAGGGAAATGAAACGCTCCACTCAAGTCTCTAATATACGGCCACATCATTTATGAACGTTTTAAAAGCTTCATCTCCACGTTTAATGACACTTATTCACATTTCTCCAACAGCTATAAAACCCATTCTTGAGCTGTCGCCTGGGAACAAATGGCAGGCTACAAATGTCATGTTTAATGTGCTTTCCCCTGAACCTTCTGCTCAGTGTACTTTTACATTAATGGATGGTTTGTTAAATTTGATGTTCTATAGCCCGGGCCTTGAATAAGATTTGCTTTATACTTGAAACCCCAGTTTTGGTCGTAGCATCTTAGTTAACACAAAAAAACAAACACAAATAAATAAATACATAGTTTATCTGCTTAAATCTGGGATGTAAAGGGAGTTGAAATTATAGCTGTGATTGTAACGCGGGAGTTTATTTGTAGTTATTTTCCTTTGTGTGTGAATGAAACTGACTATCCATCCATTTTCTTCCCCTTAATCTATTTCTGGAGAAAGCTGCACCCAGAACACAGAGCACCAGCCCCTCACTGATTCTCCTGCAGGTGGTGAGTCCACAGGAGCTGAGATCTTCCAGCAGGGGCTTCAGGCCAAGTGGGGTTAAGTGTCTTGCCTAAGGACACAACGACAGCAGACATCAGTGGGAGTCATGAAGTAGGTCTTATGGTGGGCTCGAACCCACGACCTTCAGGCTCTAAGGCCAATGCTCTACCAACTGAGCCACTGTCGCCCCTGACTAATTAAACACAATTTGCCGCAAAAGTCTATTGATTCAAACATAAACCAAAAATGATGTGTAATCTTTAATAAGAAATGCTGAATATTAACCCCACAAATCATAATATTTGCTTCATCTCCATGGGTCAACTCTTTCTACGTCGTAATTATATTTCTCTCTCAAGTCGGGATCCGAGAGCACTTGATGTCCAATTACAATTCAAAGATTGCAACAATAAACAAGGGGTTCACAGCTGCGTTCTGGCCTTTTCAGCTGTTCTGGAGACAGCCAGAGAAAATGTGATTCAAACAAATCAAAGTGCTCTGGGCTACAACAACTGTTCAGAATATTCCTACTTTGTCTCTTTGGACGCAGCCCCATATGCTTGATGCCCGTCTCCTCTGAGCGCGGCAGCCATGTGAGATAACGATACAAGCCTGAAAACATTATGTATATATAATTGTGCTTTTTGTTTCGAGACAGAATCTTTGCAGTGTTGTTGTCCCTTTAGTCCGCTTATAGTTTTACATCCTTCACAAACCACAGAGAAGAGAACCCGGCAGCAGGGACACTTCAACTCAAGGGCACTTTTTATAAATGCTATTTTGACTTGTCTTTGCATTCCTACTGTACTATAGATCCGAGCACACGCTTTAGTTTGTTTAGTGTTGTTGAATGTGTTTCTGTCTGGGGAACCTGATGCGCAACTAATGCAACGGATTCGAATTCCAAATACACGCGGTGAAAATTGCCGGCATTCAAGATAAAACGATTCTTCAGTATTTGAATAATTGTCATTATTTGGGACACAGGCGCTTCCATCTTTGTGATTAGATAATTTGATGTGCTCTTTCAACGGCGTACACATTAGTCCGTTAAAAATGTGCTATATTTTTTTTCTTACACTACTTTCAAAAACAAAAACAAGCAGCTTCTGAACAGCTGAATAGTCTATAATATCTAAAACCGCTCCCAAAAACGTTGAATATGTAAACTTTCAGGATTTGGTTCAGTCCATTGATTTCACGTCCGTATATATTCAAAGCAATTTTCAAAGGATAAAAAAATAATTCAACAGAAATCTGAAAAAATAGAGTGAAACCACATTCTTTGTTTCCCCTCTGTTGCTGTCTGTCGAATGGCGGCGTGGAATTCCGGTGGCTCTTTCCTGTGTTATCCGTTAAAGCCGTTAGAGTTTTGAGGTTTCCGTAGCCACTGGTAGAACTGGCGGCGGTGGAGGCGATGCCAGCGGACGTTGCCCTCCACAATCTCGAGCGCACGGGGCAACGCGGGGCCTGCTCCCACACTGCTGCTTTGGATGAACTCCTTCAACTGGAAAACAACACATGGTTTATTTAAAGCTGGGCGACCAAACAGAGAAACATTTGAACTATATATATAAATAATAATAATACAGTGGTGGGATGATATTGCATCACATATACAGTTCATGTTCCTTCTTTCTGAGAACAAATTATTTTTTTTTTAGAATCACATGAATGTACCTTATAATGTTAATGCAATAAAAGGTTGTGTGTGACTATTGTCTATGCCATCCATTTTTTACCCCTTAATCCATTTCTGGGTCCACAATTGTAAAGCGCATTGTGACTCTGTGACAATCTGTCTGTGAAAGGCGCTATATGAATAAAGATTACTTACTTATTTCAGGGGCCACTAAAACTTAGCCCACGGGCCTGAGTTTGACATGTCTGGTAAATGATTTACTGTAGGTACTATGTTTCAGATGGTACATAGAGGGAAAATGCCTATACTTTTCAATACATAAATGAAACATGTCCAACTTAAAGCTAGGGTACCCAAAAAACGAAACAAAATATGGAACAAAACCCGTGTTCATTTTCTGGAAGCAATTTTGTTCTGTCACTAGCATCTATTTTGTTTTTTCACATGCAGGTATTTTTGTCCTCTGTCACATCATTAGATCAACTTTTTCAGGCAGAAAAGTGGAAAAGCTTTTGAGTCACTCTCTCTCAAGATTTAAATAGTGACTCACAGGGCGCTGTTTTACGAGTTTGCAAACTATAATGTTCTCTAATAAGACAGAGTCAGCGTGTTGTGGTCAGATTTGTTCAGAGCATTTTTCTGTTGAGACAAACTACATGTATTATTTATATGTTCTCTTAGGTAACTCCTGAAGCTTAGCATATAAAACTCTCCATGTAATAAAAAATCACAATGGCTTTCTTTCATAGTTTTTGGTAATAGTGATGACAATAATAATGGCTGTTATTAATTTATAATTAAGTAAGTAAGTAAGTAATATTTATTTATATAGAGTCTTTCACATAGGAGCAAGGTCAGGCCATACAGGAGGCCAGACCTATTGTACATGGTTTTAGTGGTAGGGGAAACAGGAGCATCCGGAGGAAACCTGCACATCAATTAGATAGATGATAATAATAATAATAATAATGCATTGGTTTTATATAGCGCTATTTTGGACGCTCAAAGACGCTTCACATGTCATTATTCTTTCACTCCAAACACAGTGTCGATAAACTACTACTGTAGCCACAGCTGCCCTGGGGCACACTGACAGAAGCGAGGCAACCAGTATGTGCCATCAGCCCCTCCAATCAGACCACCACCAACCATTCACACACACACCAGACTCATTCTAGGCAATGTGGGTGACATGTCTTGCCCAAGGACACAAGAACAGTTTGGCACTTTACAGCTGCAGCCGCCCCACTATGGCACATGGTGTTCCCAGCACTCTCCCATCATAGTTCTAACCAGGCCCTGCACTGCTTAGCTTCAGACATCTGATGGGATTTGGCTTCTACAAGCAGGTGGATTTTGTGTCTCCAATATTACAGACAAAAATTCCCACTGTGTCAGTTTCATTTCAGAAGAAAAAGGGACAAAACACATAAATATAGACAAGTTCCATGAGGATCGGATTAGAGTCACATCTGTCCATATTGTTTTCACATTTCCCAATAATTTGCCCACACAAGCATCGTTTCACCATAAAATATGTTGTGGTGTTAATTTTCAAGATAATTGAGCATGAGAGGACCAGCCTCACTCAGAAAAAGATGTTGGGGTGAGAGATGAAAAGACGAAGACAGAACATTGTGCTCTGATGTGTTCCCAAAATGCTACTTTGACAAGACTATTTGTGTTGGGACAAAAAAAAAAAAACACACACAGGTACCACAGCTGTAATGAGATACTTTGAAGATTAAAGCAGGTTTCCACATGTACAAGACTTAATATAATGGTGGTACTTCTGCATATTTCTACTACTAAGAATGGCGGCATCTTTTCACGTATGAACTAAAATTCTTTGTCAAATAATTCATTGTGAATCACACCATGAACCTACAGCGGATCACACGCTGCTACATCAATCCCAAAGTTTCCGAATTTGTGTCTATAAGTTATTAAAGCCAACTTTGTCTTGTATGGCGTCTCTCCAGCTGCAGTCGTGTGAGGTGAGGTATTAAAAGAAACTATGTGGAGCTGGATAAACTTTTTTTGGGGGAGAATTATGAGGAAACTTCTGCTCCAAGTTTGTCAGCTTCACTGGAGCGGAAGAGAAAATCCATCTCTTCAACTTCCTTTCATACTGCTCATATTGTTATAAGTACAGCCTCGTCACACCTTCTCTCATTCATTCTTTAGATCAAATTTTAAATCTAAAGCGTTCTTTTTTGTTGAATAAAATACAACTTTTTCAAACAAGTCAACAAGAAGATTGACTGTAAGCTTGACGAAATTTGGTCTCGGCATTTGTTATGCAATGCTGTTTCCAACTTTTACGTGCCAATAGTTGTGATCACGCAGAATTTTAATGACAGAAGATGTGATAGAAGAGCACACAGAACTCAGCAAAAGAAAAGATAGAAGGAATGAAGAAACTGCTTTATAATGATAAAAATAATAATACATTTTGATTTAAAAGTGCCTTTCAAAATATACAAAGACACAGTACAAACATGGTAAGAACAGAGTGCGATTAAAACATTAGCATTATTAAAAACAGAAAACAACAGAACTAGACAAAGGTGTGGGGGACCGGTCATGTGGGGAAAGAAAGTGTGTTTTGTGAGTTTTGAGTCTGGATATGAACAGGGGAAGAGAGTCGGTGTTGCGGAGGTCGGAGGGGAGTGAGTTCCAGAGCTGGGGAGCAGAGTGGCTGCATGCTCTACCCTCCATGGTGATGAGGAGGAGAGAGGACAGAGAGGAGGAGGAGAGAGGGGAGAGAGGAGGAGGAGAGAGCGGAGAGGGGAGAGAGGAGGAGGAGATAGGGGAGAGAGAGGAGAAGAGAGGAGGAGGAGAGATGGTCAAAGAGCTGGAAAGAAGGAAGAGAGAGGAGGAGAGAGGAGGAGGAGAGATGGGTCAGAGAGCTGGAAAGTAGGGAGAGAGATTAGGAGAGAGGGGAGAGAGAGGAGGAGAGGGGGGAGAGAGAGGAGGAGATGGGAGAGTGAGTTCTAGAGCGGGGGAGCAGAGCGGCTGAACGCTTACCCTCCATGGTGATGAGGAGGAGAGAGGACAGAGAGGAGGAGGAGAGCGGGGAAAGAGAGGAGAAGAGATGGGCCAGAGAGCTGGAAAGTAGGGAGAGAGAGGAGGAGAGAGGGGGGAGAGAGAGGGGACAGAGAGGAGGAGAGGGGGGAGTGAGTTCTAGAGCTGGGGAGCAAAGCGGCTGAATGCTCTACCCTCCATGGTGAAGAGGAGGGCAGAGAGAGGGCAGAGAGAGGACAGAGAGGACAGAGAGGAGAAGAGAGGAGGAGAGAAGGGAGAGAGGAGGAGGAGAGAGGGGACGGAGATCTGGATAGAGGAAGAGGAGCGGAGAGTAGGAGAGGGTGTGGTGGTGTGGAGGAGGTCAGACAGGTAGTGTTGAACCAGGCTATGGAGAGCTATGAATGTAGTGAGGAAGATTCAGATTCAGATTCATTTATTTGCCATTTGCAGTAAAACCACTTTGGAAAAACTGTGCAAGACTACCCCAGTGTGCCCCAGATAGAGAAGAGGACACACACCAGAGCTCTTGCCAGAAGATTTAAAAGAATGTAGTTTCTATGGTTACCTCATTTAGTTCCTTTTCTGTGTTGAGGAACTCTGTGACTCCACCAATCAGCTTTGAGTTCATGAACAAGGCCTCACCGTATCTGAACACACACAGAGCCATCACATCACAACCTCAAAGTGCATCCCAGCGCCACAAGATTTCAGAAAAGATTTGACTGACCGCGCGTTGAGGATGTCCCACTTTTCTCTGAAGTACTTCCAGGCTAGGTCTCGACCCTGCGGGTTTCTGCCCACGTGGATGATCACATCGATCACGTCCTGCTCTGGGACCAGCTCAGAGCTCAGAGACAAGTTCAGTAACCTGTAACAGACCCCAACACAACTTTACTGCCACTGCCACACAAGACACTCACAGGGAAAGTTTACAACGAAAGGAGAGGAACCACCGTTGTGCTACTCATGCATCTTTGAATATGTGAGGGGACAGATTTTGAAGCTTTCGGATTCAGTTTATTTGCCATTTGCATTGATGTGTGCTTTATAAAACCCAGTGTGCACATAAAACAACAAAACACTAAAACACAACGTAGAAAACAATGTGAAAGAAGATCTAAAAGTAAGTAAGTAAAGTTTATTTGTATAGTGCATTTCACAGACAAGGGTCACAAAAACATAAAATACACATACAAGTCAGATTTAAAAACGAAAAAACAGAAAATCACAGTTTACACAGTTCACAGAGGCCTATGAACAGTGAGGCGAGAAGACCCGTCTAAACAAATGAGTCTTAAGTTGGGACTTGAAATGACCGACAGTCTCTAAGATGTGCAGAGACTGAGGAAGCCCATTCCAAAGGTGAGGAGCAACTGCCTGGAAGGATCTGTCTCCTCTGGTTTTAAAGCGAGTGCGGGGGACTATCAACAGGTTGTGAGTGGAGGACCTCAGACTGCTGTTGGAGACCATGAAGTTCCAGAACATATTTATTTAAATGTACAACAGCGACAGACTCTGAACACTGGATGTATTCAGGCGCCTGACCATGAAGAGCCCTGAATGTCAACACTAGAATTTTAAAATTGATTCTGTGTGAGACAGGGAGCCAAGCACATACTAAAAACAAACATTTAAAAAAAAGCTAGAAGAAGAAGGAAGAGTCCAGGACCACAATTGCAGATATAGAAGTCAGAGGGATTGTCGATGTATTATATTACAAAACAAGTCTGGTATTTGTTAGAATTCTTTAACATTTATGGCATATCTCAATTGACCAACAGACGAAGAGGCATGAAAAAACATAAGGAGATTTTAAATACAAGATCATACATCAGTTGTTTTCCCTTGTTTTCTACGCACCCAACAGTAGAGCAGGGGTCTCCAACCTTTTTCAATCAGAAAGCTACTTTTATACAACAGAAGAGGCAGAGAGCTACTATTACGACTTTTTTTGCAGTCGTAATAAAAATCAATGTAATAATTAAGACAAGAGAGAACACACAGGTAATTCTATAGTGCATAACCCTATATATATAAAACATTTTGTACTTACAATGGATACTGTACGTAATGACTCGTGTTAAATTCTAAATCCTTTGGGGAGCTACCTGAAAGGGGCTGGCAAGCTACTGGCAGCTCCCGAGCTCTTGGTTGGAGATCCCTGTCTTAGAGCATATTGGGCAAATGTAATTTATAACCATTTGAACGCTAAATGCCATCGCTCTTCCGTGGATCTTCTGTTCTTGCCTAATTTGTTCAGCAGTTTTTTGATCTGTGATACATGGATGAGTCGCCGGCCAAGATCAGACCTTTCAAAAACAGACCCTTTTTCACTAACTTGATCTGTGCTGGAGCGAGACATTTCTTGTGACCACGTTTCACGGATGTCGCATGAAGGGAAAGAGCGCCAAAGCATCTGAAGCGATTGAAGTCGGACATGCACACACTCTTTTCTTTTGTTTTAGATCAATATTGGGATTTCAATTTGGTTTCATGGGTGTCGTAGATGATCAGAGCAGACAGAAATGTGTGTGACTTAAGCATCTTAGAAATCTTTTGAAAAGCACAATATAAAACCAATGCATTACTATTATTGTTCTACGATGACCAGATCAGAACATTGATACAAGTGGGAAATATAAGGACTTTTGAGATGAGTGAGAAAGAAACCAGTAAAAACAAAAAGCAGTTAGTAAATTTCTGTATATTAGTTAAAGCATATTTTCTGTTTGTACACTCATTTTTGTCCTTAGTACTTTTATTCTTGTGACATTGATGAGTATATAGACCCCAGGAAACATACTGTAGCTACTGTATATTCCAGTAGCTAATGGGGATTAAAAAAAAAAAAAAAGCAGTACACAAACCCTTTTCCTCTGTTGCTGGGCTTCTGCGGTGTGCAAGCCTCTGCTGTTTGTTGCTCCTTCCTTTTCATTAGATCCCCAAAATCAATGCTCTCTCTCGTTTTCCCACAATCCCTCAGTGCTGAAACCGTTTCCAGTGTGACCAATCAGTGTTGTGCAGCGTGTTCTTTGACTTTTGTGTGCGAAGGTGTGATAACAGCTATCTGAACATGCAGGAGGCCTCACATTGCAGGACAGTTTACTGGGGTTACCAAATCGATAGCATCTTGCTCTTTCCAGCAGCGGCGCACTGATCTGACTCGCTGTTTGAGCACGCCAGACATCTATCCCCCCACTTTTTGCTCCATAAGAGATAGCGGACACTTAGCTTGAGATAAAATAGACCCGTATCAAATCGTATCCCCACCTCGCTTGAACCTTAAAGGGCATCGGTGGCCAGGTTAAGAGATGTTCATGCAGATATAGAGCGGTAGCTGCTCTGGAGTGTATGACATTCTATCAGTCATATCTTGTAGCTAATGTTGCCCACGCTCCATTCAAAGATTTAGTAGATTCACACACAATATTATTCACTCAGATGTTTAGAAGAACACACACACCTCAAATGAGCACTCAGCTTGGATTCTTGTCCCATTTTTTTGCGTAAGTGCTCTGTTCTCAGTGCACATTGGCTGCAGTGATGCCAATGTACAGCCTAGAGCAACTTTTCCTTTAATTTACAATGTGTCTCAGAGATCGTGCAGCAAATGTATTATATACACACATGCCAATAATTATTTTATCACCCACATTCATAAACAACAAAATCGATATGAAGAGTAGAATGTGGTTTATTGGCAGCCTGCATCCAACTGTCAATGCACGACAAACATTATCGGAAGAAATAAAAATGATATATCCATAATGCTTTCTTAATTAAGCAAAAGAAATCTGTATTTATATTTTTTCTTATCACCTCAAAAAGTCTAATTTAAGTATATTTAGAACCAACTAACGCATTATTTATGGTAAGACGATGCCAGTCTCAAAAAGGAAGAGCACAAACATAACATTTACCTAAACGATCCCCCACACAGTATTTATGACCCCACTGATACGATTCCTTTCCATTAGCCGTATGTTTGTCGCTGAGGCAGGACACTTGCCTTGGAAGGAATTGACTGATGCAAGGAATAACACTTTGTATGGGAGCAGTGAAGAAAGGTGCTTGGATTGACATGCTAATTAATTCAAATGTGTTGTGATAGCCTGTGTGCGTGATGTGTAGGAGCTAGCCAAAGACATATTTCTGTCATGCACATACCAAAGATAACAAAGTGATTAATTGCTGTTCTATATAAATTGGTCTCAGTGTGACAGTTAACACAGACTACACTAATGCCGCTAATTACATGAATTATTCTAGTGAGTGACACTAACTGGAGCCTTTCAAAGCTACAGCGAGCCTCTCCTTAATCATATTACTACAATGACACAAACACACATTTTTGTGTCCATCGTTCTGTACCTGTTCAGGAGGAAAACGTTGTCGGAGCAGGTGAGAGCTTCCAGAAGAATCTTCTTCTCAGACACGGCTCCGGTCGAGTGAAACTTCATCCAGATAAACTCCCACACGTCCTCGTCCATCAGGCTGACCCCTGTGCAGTACACAATGTCTCTGATGTTCGGAGGAATCCTGCAAGACATCAAACAAGTGCATCACAAACCTTTGTTCCCTCTCTGAGAAGAATGGCATTTTGAATTGGCTTTTACAGTGACCTGTGATTGAGAGTTTGCAGCGCAGTAGATTGGATATTAGAATCAATAGTCAGGTCTGTTCATCTTTTTAAAATGAAGTTTCCAGCCTGAGGCATCTGATTACAAACATTTTAATTATTGTGGTGATAAATAAAAGAATGCAACATGTGTCATTTTGCCAGCTATGATTATCCCTATTAACTAACGACCAAAGCACTAATCATGTTACACAAGAGAAACTTCAAAAGTGCCCAAACACAAAATAATTCTCTTTTTAAAATACAGACAAAAACAAGATATCCAGACAAACAATATTCTCACAAAAAACCATTCAGGAAAAGATCGGTTAAACCTTAGACACGTCAACATTTATTGTGCAGTAGGAAAGCAGCCTGATTCAACATGCCCTGGCCCAGCTGATCACTGGCCTGAATCAACAGCAAAGAGAGAGTGAGCATGTCCTAGCCGAGCATGTGATGGAGGACACATCCACTTTCAATCTTCATAAAGAGAAACCTTATTGTGTTGACGTTTTCAGGTGTTATATATGAAGATTATGGTCTTCATTTTTGAATTGTAGCGTGTCCTGACTTGCTTCTAATCTCACCATAAAGATGCATGGGACTATGGCTGTACAGCAGTTTTTAAAAAAGTAAACGAGTGACAAGAGTAAAGCGGACTGTGCGTTGTGTAGGAAAAACTGTCACGAGGTGGGTCCAAAACCAACACATACAACAACTTGATCTGAAAACGAGTAAGATCTTTGCTAGCACCGGAGCACAAGAACAATCAACTCTACAACATAGCATAAGAGTGGAATATGACAGTGGTTCTTCTGGTTGACAATTGCTAAAATGTTTAATTGTTAAAGAATTATCTTATTGTTGAGATGAGAAAAAATCTTCAATTTCAGTTGTACTAGATTTATTAATTCCCAGGGCTATTGCCATACTTTCTTTTATTGCCACTTTTTTATTGTACATAATTATATCCTGCACAGACTATATTTTTTAACCTTAACATGTTGCACACTTCTGTCTTTTGCACAATCTGAGTGATTCTATCTATGCAAATGTGACATGTACATTTCTACAGTGTGAGATCAGTAAAGTCTATCTTATCACATTAAGGTACTCATACTCGTATCGGTTTTGAAAAAAGTGGTATTGGTGCATCCCTACTGGGGGACATTGAGCTGATTGGGAAACATAGTGCGGTTCATGTTGCTAAATTACTCCTACCCTTTTAAATTAAATTAATTAAATTAATTTAATTACTCCTGCTTCCTTTTCCTGACGGACAGGAAGCAGCGAGTGCGTCTGGGGAAGAATGTCTCGGACTCTCGGATTATAAATACAGGAGCCCCACAGGGCTGTGTTCTTTCTCTCCTGCTCTTCTCCCTGTACACCAACCACTGCACCTCCAGCCACGACTCCGTGAAGCTGATCAAGTTCGCGGACGACACCACCCTCATTGGACTCATCTCCAACAACGATGAGTCCGCCTACAGGAGGGAGGTGGACCGGCTGGTGTCCTGGTGCAGTGGTAACAACCTGGAGCTGAACGCCCAGAAGACAGTGGAGATGATTGTGGACTTCAGGAAGAGCACTGTCCCCCCACCCCCACCCTCCGTGATGGACTCCCCCATCACCTCTGTGGAGTCCTTCCGTTTCCTGGGCACCACCATCACCCAGGACCTCAAGTGGGAGCCGACCATCAGCTCCCTCATCAAGAAGGCCCAGCAGAGGATGTACTTCCTGCGGCAGCTCAGGAAAGCCAAGCTGCCTGCACAGATGTTGGTGCAGTTCTACACGGCCATCATCGAGTCCATCCTCACCTCCTCCATCGCTGGAGCCACAGTCAGGGACAAACAGAGACTACAGCGCATTGTGCGCTCTGCAGAGGAAGTGATCGGCCGCAGCCTTCCATCGCTGCAGGACCTGTACGTCGCCCGAGCTCGAGGCCGGGCTGGTCGTATCACAGCCGACCCCTCTCACCCTGCACATGGACTATTCCAACCACTCCCCTCAGGCAGGAGGCTGCGGTCCATCAGGACTAGAACCTCCCGCCACAAGAACAGTTTCTTCCCCTCTGCTGTTGGACTCTTGAACACTTCTTAAGCTGTCCCCCCGCCCTTTATAAAGTCACTTTACTGCCCATCATACGTCACTTTACTTCACTGTACTGCTGTCACCTTACATTGTGTGCACCATGTGCACTTGTATATTGTAAATAGTAACTGTAACTCTATTTTAAATTTAAATTTATTCTTTAGAAGTGTTTTTTATTCTTATTTTTGTTATCTCTTTTTGACTGTTGCACTGAGCCAAAGCAATTTCCAAGTCTGTGACCTCCTGTTACTTACGTTGGCAATAAAAATGATTCTGATTCTGATTCTGATTCTGATTAATGGCACATATTTGTAGGTGGATATATTTAGCACCTTTTACGGACCAGAGTCATAAAGTGCTTTACAATCGTGGGAGTTTGTCCTCTCACTCACAGGGATGGAAGCAGGGTTGCCAGGCTGTAGGTGCATGTCAGAACTATTGCAGGGGTTAAAGCAAAAAAAAAAAATTTGACTGAAAATTTTCGCATGGAAATTTATCACATGCAAATCACAGTAATATGCAGGACCAAGTTATATTTGTAATTACAATATATTATTGTATAATAGATTGTATATTGAATACAGCTCAAATGAATTCTTCAAAGATATACAGTGTATTTTGATATGAAATATAAGTGGATCAAGCAACGAGTAAACTTTTTGACAGAATATTAGTGAGAGTAGCTTTACTTGAGGCGATATGGAGCATCAACACTTTGGCTCTGTCCTCGTCAAAATATTGCAAAAGGACGATAAAATTCTGTCCACATTTGTTTGTGGACACGTCAATATTTAAGAAAAAGGTTTCCCTATCAAGTTTGAGTGCACAGTGCACTTCGATCAACTGCAAATGATTTAAATAAATGTACCAGCGGTAGTGATATTCTGAACTTCATTTTCTGCGATAAAGCCACAGACACTGTCTGCCAGAGCAAGCCTAGTGTTAGTTGTTGCTGATGCATCAGGTAAAGATGAAGTGTGGGAAAGTGCACAAACAGCTGCCTTGTGCGCAGTTTTGAGCTGGTGGCGAATCAAAACTTTTTTCTCATTACTCCCATACATGCAATTTTTTATGGCAAAGTACGCACAAGCACCGGCCACTTTCATCTTTTCGCACCATGACTCGTTGATTGGCTCTTTTACATCACGCTGAGTTTTGCAAGAAGATCGCAAACAAGACAATATCAAAAGCTCACCAAGACATGTTTGTCCCCATTCCCAGTCGCAGCAAAGTCTGTTTTGTACATTCCGTTAAGTAAAATAGCATTGCGTTTGGTAAACGTTAATTACCTTTCGTCTATTACGCGCCCAGCTTACCAGTCCGCGGATCTGCTGCTGTTATTTCTCCGTTCGAGATTCAATTTTCCTCCTCTTCTCCTTTTCAAAAGCTCCGTGCAGTTTCCAGAAACTTTCACCTCCGTGTTACCAATGCTAACTTCATCGCGTCTTCATTTGCGCGTGAGCTCAGCTACGTCCCATTGCCTTGATTCATTTGCGGAGCGCTCATGTGGCCACGGCACGTTCAAGGCCCACTCGTGATTATATTACTTATTATTTCTATATACATATAAATACAATTATATTCAAATTATTATTATACATCGATATATATATATATATATATATATATATATATATATATATATATATATATATATATAACAGATTCACACATATATGTATTACTATATATTATTTTTATAATCAATCATTTCATTGTGTGTATTATTATCATTATATATATATATTTTTTTTTTTTCCAGACCAATTTCATTTGACGGAAATCCGTCACCTAGACGGAACTCTTTAATCCCTGAACTATTGTAAATGTTTTAGTGGTAGGGGAAACCGGAACACAGAAACGAGGTGTGGTAGTGAAACCCAGGATGTAAAAGATTCACAGATCACACAAATTTAGAGCCGATTAATCATAAATGAATCAGATGAAAGGTTTGAAGTGAGTCAGAGTCAGAGACGTTTTTGCAATATGGTCAAGTGTGAGTGAATACAAAACTTAACATAAATGTTTGGGCTTGAGCTCGTACTTTCTCCTTTTTGGAAATATTTATGTTGCTCCATTTGCAGTCGCCCATAAGCAAGTTATTACTCAGGTCCTGCAAGCCTGACAAATTGTTCTTGTCACACATTTGTGAAGTCGGAGGTTAATTTCCCTCTTTGGTCACTGTGCTCTTTTTGTCTTTTTTTTCTGCTTGTTAGCAGCATCAACAGCGTTAGAAGCTGCAATTTTTACTCCTATGAAATTAACTTCCACCACTGCACCATCTTTGTTTTGGTTCCAGAGTCCAGCCTCTCAGCCTCACAAAACCATGGCACTGCATCATTCCCAACAGCACAATGCAGCTCTATGATTGGTCGGTCAATTCCCACACCTATTGGCAGAAACCGCTCGATTTCAGCCAAATTCGTGTGAGAATTTGTCTCGCAGCACAAGTAACTCACCTCTCAATCTAAGCAAGACCACAACATCATCATAAGACCAGCAGATGTCAGACCTTCCATTAAAACCATAATTATTTTCTTTTTAATTCCTAATTTGAGACTGCCGTCTCCAACTGGCTTTACACCCTGGCTTTTTATCGCACAACATTAGATAGGGTTACTGCCTACTCTGTAAAAAATACTCTGCTTTCTATCAGCAACATCTCTTCTTTGAGCGAAATGGGTTTAATCAGTACTTAGTAACTTGTTGTCAGTATATCTAAAATAATTATATGTTGACATTGTGTCTCTTGCTTTGCTTTGTGGAGATCTGTCATAACCAGACTGTTGTTGTGTCTCATGCTGTTAATAAGAATAAGAACAGTTCA